ATTAATCGTAAAGAAGTCCTGCGTTCTTTTATAATAAATGTTGATTGTGTATTTGAATATTTACTTTACTGCACCTTCACCTCCTCCTCCCCCCTCCCCCTCCCCATCATCTCCGGGTGGCTTCCATCTCGAAAGTGGCAACCCTTCAAGGGTTTCCTCGTGACAGAGACTCTGTTACTACAGAAAAAAACACGTTTGTGTTGTAATGTTGTTCAGGCTTGCACGCATACAAAAGCAAAATAATTACATAAGAGGCAGCAAAATGCAAAACTAAGAGAAAATCTCGAAAATAGGCATCACAAGCTAAAATGGGTAAAATGAAAATCTACTAAAACAACTCCAAAGTATAATTAAGAAATTACTATTGTTAAAAGTGTGACATTGTAACAAAAATTGTAAAAATTTGGCATTTTGCCAACTTTCCGTGCTTTATATAACAATTATGGAAGGGCTAAAAACATGAATACTTCAAAGCAATTGATTCTTCACATATGACTCAAAACTATTGCTATTTATTGCTCATTGATAATCTTGTTGTCTTCAAATCAAAAGCAAATCGTGTCCTGTAGAGCAGCACCAGTCAATTAACTTTCTTACATTATATAATTTATTCAACATTTTTTCTTGTATAACAACCCTTACCTGACATGAAATCTGGTGCAGTGCCTTCATGACACCTTCTCCACAAGCCTTCTACCCTCTGCAGGTTAACAATTCCTTTTTGGCTGCATCTTTTCAGCCATTATGATTCTAGGGAAAACACAAACAAAAAATTCAGTTAATCTAAATGACTTATGTTCAATAAATGTATGTATTTAAATTGGGAAATATGCATGGTTTAGTCATTTTTAAATGAATGATTCACCAGTCATGAGTTTCCACTTCTTATCAAGGAAAACCACCGGTTTTGAATTTTCACTGACTGTTTTCCTTGTAGGCTGGCAAAATATAATTACTCTTGATAATTACATCATCATTTTTCCCTATAATCAGCATACTTTTCTCCCTTTCTCCACACAAAATACATTTCCTTCAGTATTCTGTACAAAGAAGGTTTGGTCCTTGAAAAAAATACATGTCACAATTCTCTGACATGCTCCCAAATTTATTTTCCTGAAATAACTCTCTGTAAAAAAACTTTCATATTATAATATCTTCCCTGTTTACTAAACCTCATACAAAATACGAATGTATATAATCATATGTTGAAAATTACCTTCACGAGCTTTTCAATGAACGAATCTTGCAATTGTACTAATTATGTTGTATTAATTGTACTAATTGTACTAATCTGTTAAATGCTTGCAATGATCCCAGAAAAACTTCACAATCATTCATATTTTTATCATGAGAAATAATCACTTATCAAGAATTACTGACTTTTTACTAATAATAAAGCAGATATATAGTTTTCATAACTTTTTTTGTGTCTCAATGTTTCAATTTTTCTATTTTCTGTACTCTATACATATTGATTCACCATAAAAACAACAGATATAAATGACAATAAAGTTCATGTGAACTATATTGCACTAATAAGTGTATTAAAATATTTTGATAATGTTATCTAGATGGACAGGGATGAGAAAACTGAATTATTAAAAAAATGATGTTACAGAAAATTTTTATAATACTTCCTCTTCAAATGTTTAGATGTGAGAAATAAATTTGTTACTAATGTATAAATAATTGTCTGTGCAGTAACTATCTTTTTTCTTAATTGCATTGTTAAAATGATGTAACTTACTAACTGAAATATAATTAATCTCTCATTCATTGGAATTAGTCACCTAAGTAGACAATGTAATTTTTGTTCCTGAAACATCATAATTCAGAATTTTCAAATAGGGTCTAAACTTTTTTAGTAAAAAGAAATTTGAAGTATGGGGCTGTTTGTACTGATGAAAATATAATTGTGCTTTTAAAATTTACCTTGACAGTTACTTGTATTCCGTTATACCATACATGAATTTTGAACATAAAAAATTAGTCCCATCAAAATTTGCATCTGATATATGGTCACTGATGTAGCATATGAGCTAAATATTATTAAAACCTGCTCCTGTATTTGTCTTTCATAATCAGTGAGCACATCCACATAGTTGTTAACTTACACTAATACTAAAGTTAATTTAATATTGATCACTTGTTTTAAAGCCTTTGAATATTGCCTATTAAAATAATTAAATAAACTGTTCAGATACTTGTATTCATTTCATACAAACAAGATCATACTCTAGAGACACAAAGGGGGTTTAAATGTCATGAAATTTGTTTTACAAATATTTCCAATGTAATTTCTTTACCATTATTATATTCAGAGTGGGTGTAAGAATATTAAATATAACACAAATAAATTTCTTAATTTATTTTTATAAATTAGTACTTATAAATTATGTGTATGTATGCGTGTGTGTATATATATATATATATATATATATATATATATATATATAGATGTGTATATACACACTAATTTATACATTACTAAATTTATTTGCTGTTCGATAATCCCTGATAAAAATGATAGAAAGTACTTTTCTATTTTGTCACAATAATACTAGCCATTATTAATGCCAATACTTCAGTAGCATAAACAAAAAAATCTATTTATTTATTTATTTTCATCAAAACAGTTATAAACTTTATGTGACGTGCTATGAGGAGAAGTTAATTTGAAGTTACATTTAAGTCCAGAAGCAAAACAAGGGTCCATCTCAGCTTGTGCTGAAAGATCAGGGGAACTGGAGGATAACCTGATTGAAAAGGGGGTTGTTAGATATTGTTAGAGATACAATTCCTTCTGTAAAGTATATGTTATAAAGTCAGAAAATCTAATAACAAAAACAACATAATTTTACAATAACTTATTACTGAGGACTAAAAATTATTAAATTTCTATAAGATCATAAAAAAAAAGTTTATTTTTGTTCATTAAAACACAATTAACTGAATTTACTGTTTGGATCTTTGCAAAGATGGAACTGATTTGTCTGCAAGGATTCCAACGATAAGAATTGAGCAGGCATAAATTAGAATTGTGCAGGCAAGAATTAATTGTATTCAAGTAAAATTGGTGTTAAATACAAATTATTATGTTATTATTTAAAGAAATTTACAATCATTGTATATCATTTGTAAAAGTAAAATGTTTTAGGACAAGTGTTTTAAAGTATGTACTGTAATGTTTTGACTATTTTGGAAACCACAGTCATTTCAAGTATTCTATTCAAGCATTGGCACATGTACCATTCAATATTGTATAGTATTATTTTTGTGTTTAAAATTGATCTAACTGAAAAACTTTTACTCAGCTATTGTAATGATTATTTTGCATTACAATTTTGACTACCATAAGACTAACACAAGATGGTGTAAACATTAGTTTAATGTTAAACAAATATTTATTTTATCATAATTCTTAATCATCTCTTCTTGAATAGTTTTAAAAATGTTCCTAAATGTTTTGTGTAGGGCCTACCTACTACAATATGATACAAGTATAATCCATGACATTAGAACTTCAATCACACTAATAACTTCTTATGAATCTTGTAATAATAACACAACATAAGCACCAAAATATGCAGTCACAGAAAAGTAGCACTTAATCACATTACTTCTGTTTAAAATATTTTACATCCACACTAAATTAATACAATTGAATTATCCCAATTAAATATTTCACTGGGGGTTAATACTTCCTTTTTTCAATATTTTTGATTCTCTTTTTTGAGCAGTTTGTGAAGATTTGCGTTCTGGGCCAGGTGGTTTTTCTTTTGCTTCTGTCTTGCTACCGGTTCTCTCGGGTGGCTTCTCTTCTTTAGTTCCATCGTCTTCCTCTTCGAGTTCAGAGTCTTTTTTCAGTAGAGCATTAGCTGCTTTTAATTGTCTATACTCATCGTAATGTGCTTTTCTCTTTTGCTCAAATGCCTTTTTTCGTCTTAACGATTCTTCATCTAAATTGATTTCTTTCTGTAATTTTTCCTTCAATTTGTCAGCGTCGACTCCAGGGGCAATTGGGGCTGCTGTAGATGTACTCGGCGATTCAGGATCACATCCGCTTTCCCAGTTGAAAGGAGTTTTTGGTTCGTCTATTTTCATTAGTCCGTAGTCCTTATTAGCTGGATGTAGAGTTTCCTGAATATTTTCTTCGTCCCAGTGAGCGGATTTTCTACGTTCGCTGGGTGCTCCTTTCGATGTCTGACTGGGACTTTTAAGGATACTTTTCCTTCCCTGATTGTCTCTGTTCGGTGGTTCTTTCGACATGGCTACCTTTTAACTTGCTGCATTCATCTGACGAAAGAACTTTTTCCTTGAATATGAATAAAGAAATGTGTTCTCACCTTCAGATTCCCTTTGTAAAGAGATTTCGCCTTCACAAGTGTCCAGTAATTATGATAAGATCCTTTTCGAACAGAAAAAGGGTCAGATGGTTAATAGTAAGTGCAGCTTCATAAATACTGTGTTTCGCCGTAACACTCGAACTCGAGTATTAATTTCCTTAGTGGACTGTCATTACCCTTAGTCAATGTATCACAGACACTAATACAGTATAAACAGTAATACAGTACAACTGTACTCACAACATAAGAACATATCTGAGCTCATTCGAGAGGTGTTGGCTTAGTTTATGCCATGATTGTCTATTATTGACAATATTTTCCAACGAAATTGCAATTCATAGTAATTGTTCACTGATAACACCATACCAACACCATACACATAGATATTTTTCAAGTAACGAGATTTTAAGGCTTCACGATAGGGAGCGTTTGTGTTGCGGTTGTAAACACATTCTTTTCATTTTGTTTTCGAAGCCGTATTAAAAAGAGTTAGTTATTTTATTATATAATGAAATCCCGCCAAGAATATTTGAATTCTAATTCGAAATTACGTTGAAATTCATCTTCTGTTAGCTTGTTTTGCTGTTTAGGACTCTTAGAAACTTTCTTACAACACAAACACGTCATGCGTACAAAGAAGGCAGGGTTGCCAGATTGGGGAATTTTATCCCCTATAATTGGATTTTTTTATGTGTTGGGGGAAAGAATGGAGAACATAACTGTACGAGGAAATGTTTCACATTTCATGTTAAGTAGCATCAGAAGTTCAGAGTGTATTATCCTGCGTGTCTTTTTGTTTTCTTCGCAATGCTTCTTGCTACACTAACAATGTCTCTGTTTCCCATTCTTCGGTCAGATTTAATGACCTGCATCATTATTGGGTCATCTTGACGGCTCACTACACATTTTACCATCCCGACTATTATATTGTGTCTGGAGGTTTCGTCCTCCTCCCGTACGGACACAAAGTCTATGTAAATCAGCTCGAGGATGGGCAACATGATTCATTGTAAGCAGTTTTTGGTTTTTTTTTCATCTATCATTCGAATTTCTTGCTCGGTCTAGTCCACTAGTCCGACACTACGCGGCTATAGAAACCTCCAAACTTCCAATTGCTTTGGTTTCAGGTTAATCTTAAATGCCGGGAGGTTCACACTTGTTTTGATGCCCCCTCCCAATTCTACGTCCCAGAAACGCCCGCGCATTCTGTATACAGTTACTCTAATTAGTTGCCTGTAATTTACAAGCGATAATTTTTGTTAAAACGCATTTCATTACGGTATATTATACCTCAAAAATAAGGGGAACTCGCAGAAAATTCGTTTTTTTAACCGTTAACAAAATCAGAAGTAAGTTTTATTCTCTGTAACGTGGTGAAATCCGTTTTATTTTATGATATTTCATTTAGTTTTAATTTGGATATTAATGTAGCCTTGCGTTAGGGGAACCACTCCCCCTTTTTTCAAAGGGAACGTGGTTCCCCTAAAAACTAAAACAAAGTCAAAAATAGAAACACTATAAAATAAAAATAGAAGAAGATATTTAAGAGGAAGAAAGAAAATAAGAGAAGATAGAGACACAGAAAAAGTGGTCATAACCTAGAGTCTTGGAGCTCTCTGAAGCATTACAAACTTGAAAGCCATTTCCCGGAATGTTGCCTTTTTGATTGTAATTGGAAATCTGAAACATCATATCTCCAGTTCTATGTAAGATAACCCTCTGATTCTTTGTTGTTATAGTTTAGAAATGCATAGCTATTGCATGAACCAAAAGTAAATATTTGAACCAATTATTTAATGAAAATTTTATATAAAAATATTTTATTTTTTAATTTTCTGAAGAAAAAAAAAGAAGATTAAAATATGTAAATACTAATGAAACAAATACAAGTTCAAATCATCTGTTATTATGAGAAAAAACAGTTGAAGCAATAGAGATAGTAGTTCTAAAGTTATGATGTCACAGCTCAGGGCCTGTACACAAAATTCCGATATCTCCCAAAATAAATTTTCGAAAACTTTTTCTTAATGTTTTTGTTTTCATTGTAGACATATTTATTCAATAAATATATTAAAAAACTTTTTAAACAATATTTAAAATGCTTCCATGTTTTGGGTACAATATATCTTGTAAAATCATTCGTTTGAAACAAATGAAAATATTTCAACTTATCAAATTAACGCAAGCAAAAAGAAAAGATCCTGATGGAGTTTTTCTAAATACAGTTATATATTTATCAGATATTCGCGATTCTGTTTAGTTATTAACAGAACAAAGGGTTTGCTATGGACATGCCCCAAAATATGTTGACGAAATACTCTCAGAAAGAAGTTATAATCTGTCCATGGGTGTAAACTTTCATTTTAAAATTTCATTAATTTGTTGAACTACATTAGGATAATTACACAGGTATCTTTCTTTCGAAAGAATTTTCACTTATATTGCTTAACAGGCATACAATCTTGGGGACGGTGAACGATCTATTCAGTTCATCGATTGTGTTTTTTTCGTCAACAAGAGCGCGGGGCGACGTCTCCGCGAGCGATAAGACCCGTACATCTGGGTCGCCCGAGGAAGCGTGTAACTTTTGTGAAATTCCCACAGGAAATGAGATTTTGAAAGGAAGACAAAATATCTCCAGGCTCTTCTTTTGATGGCGGAATTTGTTGGCCCTCGCCGAAGCCCAGTCACATCAGTGGGATGACAATTCAACGTAACATTACAAACAAATCTACGGTTTGTACACGATTTATTTGATTTGTGCGAATGTTCGCGTCAGTAGAAAGTAGAATTGATACAGTAGTTTACGTTACCAAAGTCTAGAAGTGGAGTGTATTTTGGCGAAAACAGACGATTTTTTTCAGGAATGGAGGCGAATTCTCAGTTTACTTATTTTAAAATGCCTAGGTGAGCTATTTCCGTAAAAAATATCTATTTACACGTTGCTTAATCAGGATTTGGAATTGTTTCATCCCTCAGAAACAAAGTATACAATAATTATTTTTAATTACATTAACTAGCATTTAATACTGCATGTGACACGCGAGAAGTAAAGCTAAACTTACTGCTCGGAAGTAAATAAAGGAGGATCTCAACATGTACCCAGAATCGTTGAAAAATTAAACTGATACAGGGATCAAGATGATTCTACACCGCACAACCGAATTTTTAAGAACGAATGTTTTTAAATGTTATTGTTCTGGATCAGTTACATCCATCTCAACAGTATCAACATCGGAATTTCAGGTCATCATTGGAGCTAGAACTAAATTGGCATATTTATTTCTAGAGAGAAAATCAATTTTATATTTCGCTGAAAATTAAAGCAATGCGATCTGATATTTATTTATATATTTCTCGAATTGTAAAATAAGGCATTTTTTATTTTTATCGTGTAATATTTAACAATTGGAGTGAATTTATTACATTACTAGAGAAGTGTAGCAGCACGAGCTGCTCACCTATTAAGCGACAGTTTAAAATTCGTTAACAAATGCTTAGGATGAAAGAAATTAACGAAATCGACTTGCAACAGAGCTTTCAGAAGACTTCATAGCAATCAGAATTAGGTCAATGCTTTGCATAATTATCGTATCTTTGAATATTATCACCATGATTATTAGATTGAAATGCTCCATTTCCTATTTCATGGAATTATTTCAGAAATACATTGGTCATTGAACTAGTACGTTTTTAATCAAATAGAAAGTATATGGAAATTTCAAATCTTTATTTTGAATAGAAAGATTCTTGACTAAAGACCGGTTACCAAGGTATCTCGTGCTTTCAGCATGACCAAAATATATTTATTTCCCACCTACCCACTTAGCTCTGGATATTTACCTTTCACAATAATTCTCAGTAACTGCAACCTATGAGAAATTTTTCATTACAGCGAACCTTGAATGCGAAGAGTTAAATGAATTAGAATTTAGAGTTAGATAAAGGAACAAGAACAAATACTGTGAAATTCTTTTATGATTGTCACGATCATTTAAGCCTTTCGCCCAGAGCCTCTTAATTATGTTTTTCTTCATTTTACATTGCGATTTGAGCAAGTACTAGCAAATACTATGTAGACAATATAGAAAACTTTGAACCTTTCTCACACTTTTAATGGGAGACTACTACTCACTACATTCAACAACTTTCGAATCGCTCTGCGAAACGTAAGTACACTAAAAACCTTTAGAACTTATACATTTCGTAATCACGGCTGACGGCTCGTGCTTAGGTTGCACAACCCCCAGATAATCAAATAAGATCTTATAATATCTTAAGAATATACATTTTCATTTTAATGACATTCAATATTCAGGAGATTGCAGCAATATCGATGTATGTGAAATAATTTTGAAATCTAAGCGTCCAACTGCCGCTGTCTCTGGTGCATGGTGCGTTGCCGGGTATTGCACTGTGCTCTTGGCTGTATTAGTGAGTTTACTGCATTTACTCTTTGGCCCTTCGATTTAACACGGCAAACATAGGCTTTTTTGGTTGGGCAACCAGGTGGCAGACGCTGTGTATCGCTGCGCGGCGACCTAGGGAGTCACCAGGGAATCCCAATATTTTGTCTTCCCCCGACTCGCTGCAACGTAATTTTATGAATTTCGCTTATTATTGAAAGTATACAAGTTTAGTCAACTACTGACGGCATTTAATGCATTATTTGTTATGTTTAGAGAATTTATTTACATTTGATATTAGATTTATAGTTTCAAAATGTACCCTTGATGAATTCTTTGTATGAAGTTGGCCGCTCTGGAAGGAAATCCCTTTCTCGGTAGATAATATTTGCGCTGGCAGCAGCCTGCACGGAGAGCGATGGAAGGAATATGAGCGTGTGTGTATATGGAAGGATCTTTATTATAAAATATACCTGGGTTGTGAAATTTTCGAAATAAAATAATTTCATTTGTGTGA